GGTGAGGTGAGGTGAGGTGAGGTGAGGTGAGGTGAGCTAAGGTGAGGAGAGGAGAGGTGAGGTGAGGTGAGGTGAGGTGAGGTAAGCTAAGGTGAAGAGAGGTGAGGTTTTATTGATCTCCACATAAAGATATTTGTTGCGGATTGGTAAAAATACATTCGTGCATAGCACTCATCAAAACACACACGCACGCATGCACGCACACACACACACACAAACACGCACGCACGCGCAAATACACAAATGCAAACATATGAATAATCACTGAATGGACATGCAAAATAATTACAAATTTCATTCCTTTCATTCTGTAGCTTTACTTAACAAAGAAAAGATGTGGGGTTCAACTTATGTTCATGATGATGAAGAATGCGAGCGTGCCGTAGATGTCGGTCTGTGGGTGTCTCCAGATTTTTTCGCTTATTTCTTTATTTTTAATTCCTCTCTTTTTCTTTACCTTTAATTCTTTTCTTTTACTTTAATTTTAATTCTTCTCTTTAACTTTACCTTTAATTTTAATTTTTCTCTTTTCCCTTAATTCTAATTCTTCCCTTTTACTTTATTTTTAATTCTTATCTTTTACTTATATTCTAAATCTTCTCTTTCACTCAATTTCTAATTCTTTTAATTTTCTTTTCATTAGTTAAAACGTTTCATTAGTTTCATTACGAAGCTTTTATTCACATGGACAAGATGGGGGGTGGGGGCTTCGATTTACGTTCATGATGATGAAGAGTACGAGCGTGACGTAGATGTTGGTCTGCGGGAGTCACCAGATTTTTTTCCCCATACTACTTTATTTTTAATTCTCCTCTTTTACATTTTATTCTGTTTCGTTAATTTCATTACAAAGCTTTACTTCAAAGAGACAAGACGTGGGGTGGGGGCTTCGACTTACATTCAAGATGATGAAGAGTACGAGCGTGACGTAGACGTTGGTCTGCGGGTGTCTCCAGATTTTTTTGTTTACTTCCTTATTTCTAATCCTTCTCTTTTACTTTACCCTTAAATCTTCTCTTTCAACAAAAATTATTTTCTTTTCCTTTTTTACATTTCATTACCTTCATTCTGCAGCATTACTTCACACAGACAAGACGTGTGTTTGACTAACGTTCATAATTGTGAAAAGTATGAGCGTTGACGTAGATGTTGGTCTGCTACCTCATTTTTAATTCTTCTCTTTTACATTTTATAACTATTGTCTACGTTTCATTAATTTCATCACGAAGCTTTACATCACATAGACAAGACATGTGTTCGACTTACGTTCATGATGATGAAGAGTACGAGGGTGACGTAGATGTTGGTCTGCGGATGTCGCCAGTGCTCCAGGATGGCCTCGTCGTCGATGTCCTCCGCCTGGCCCGTGGTCCATGTGATGTTGGAGAACAGTTCGTGGATGGCCATCTTACCCGTCATCTGAGGGGAGATTTTTTTTGTGGGGGGGAGAAAAAGGAGGAGGGAAGGGGA